CGAAAGAGGGTAGAAACAACAATGATAAGAGGGAATCCTTGATGGGCTGCCTCCTGCACGCCCCGCAGGGGGAAGCGAAGGGGGGTGTGGGGGGCGCTGCAACCAGGGCGCCAGGCCGCAGGGCAAAGTTTTCGATCCCATCCCGCGGTTTGTAAGCCCAGCTGGGGGCCTGTTTCCAGCCAAGCGTTTTAAGGAGCAGGTGAGGGGGCTCCAGCGGACCAGGACAGTGTTGCTTGGAAACTGGGAACGATATGGTGTTTCCTCCTGAACACCCATGGGCAAAAAGGCCTTCCAAATTAAGTGCCCAGTGTCTAAATGTTTAATAAGATGCTTAATGTCTAAATAAATGTTTACTGTCTAAACGCAGCCTGCCTGTCTCCTTGATTATTACATTAAGTGTTTGTAAAAAATTACGTAGTATTTGGGAACAATTTGTAAGTTGGATTTTCCCACTTCCTGAAGATGCCCCAGTGTGTGCAATTCATTCATTCAGTCTCCACTGAGTCCCTACTGTGCGCTGACACAGGTACTTGGGATTTATCAGTGAACAATGGGGGGCGGGGGCGGGGGAGGGAGGAGGTGATTGCAGAGCAGCATAGACAATTATAAATGAAATATTTACACAACAGTTTTTAAAAATCTATTATACCAAAGGGGGAAAAAAATTAATGTGACATGTAGCTACATGTTATTGTGCAAAAGATATAATTGTGGTTGGAAAAGGGGCCACACACATACTTGAGAGGATCAGGGGAGGCCTGCACGGCCCACCTTACAATGCAGAGACCAAAGTGACCACACACACACACACACACACACACACACACGCACGCGCGCACACACGCAGTCTCCACATGGAAATTCCTAACTAAAAGTGAGTCATGTGGACAGTCACTCGCAGGCCTGTAGCTGCCTGACAAAGGTTAATCATTTTGAAGTTGCCCATGGTCTCTGTGCATCTAAGATAACATACCTTTGAAATGGCAGAGTAACCTTCCTTCAGGCCCCTTGGCGCTCACCTGCCCACCCGGGAGCGCCAGCCCAGATGGCAGCCACACTGCAGGCCACTGGGCTCCCAGCCTTTAATTTTCAATCTGGGCAAGAGCGGAAGTACTAATTCCTGGCTTCCTCCAAGATTCCACTGTTTCAAACGATGGAACAGAAGCTATTACACAAGGAAGGGATCTAGAGAACGTGGGATAAAGACGCACATTTCTTTTAACATCGAAGCCTGCCGCTTATTACGGATTCTGACACTGTCAAGACTCAGCCTAGATATAGGAACGTGGGATTTTTATAAATTGTAAATACTAATTGAAGTTTTGATAGAAATATTTTATGTCTAGCCCAGCCGGTGTGGCTCAGTGGTTGAGTGTCACATCGACCTATGAACCAGGAGGTCACATGCCCAGCTTGCAGGGTGGGGCATGCAGGAGGCAGCCAATCGATAATTCTCTCTCATCACTGATAATTCTCTCTCCCTCCATGTTCCTCTCTGAGATGAATCTACACATACATACATACATATGAAATATTTATGGCTATTTGTGACCTATAAGTCAATAGGACATACATCAAATTCCTCAAAAACGTGAGGCTTCTGTGTGATTGCTTATGAAAAAGTGACGTTGCTCTACACCAGCGGTTCTCAACCTGTGGGTCGCGACCCCTTTGGGGGTCGAACGACCCTTTCACAGGGGTCGCCTAAGACCATCGGAAAACACATATAATTACAGATTGTTTTTGTGATTAATCACTATGCCTTAATTATGTTCAATGTGTAACAATGAAAATACATCCTGCATATCAGATATTTACATAACAATTCATAACAGTAGCAAAATTACAGTTATGAAGTAGCAACGAAAATAACATTATGGTTGGGGGTCACCACAACATGAGGAACTATATTAAAGGGTCGTGGCATTAGGAAGGTTGAGAACCACTGCTCTACACTGTAACCTCCATTTAAAATTCGTTAAGATCTGGTTTCATCCCCGGCTGCAGCGCCCAACTACCTACCTTTGCCTTCCACTGTTTTATGCTGAACTTGGAGGCTCACCGTAGAACAGTGATGGCGACCTTTTGAGCTCGGCGTGTCAGCATTTTGAAAAACCCTAACTTAACTCTGGTGCCGTGTCACATATAGACACTTTTTGGTTTGGCAACCAGAGTAAAACAAAGATTTATATTTTTGATATTTATTTTATATATTTAAATGCCATTTAACAAAGAAAAATCAACCAAAAAAATGATTTCACGTGTCTCCTCTGACACGCGTGTCATAGGTTCGCCATCACTGTCCTAGAACTACACGTTATTTCATAATTGCCACTGGACTGTGGGTGCTCCAGGGTGCTAGGGGAAGATTATGGTCCAGTTCGTACGGTGCTGGTGACGAAATACCCCCTTATGCTGCCTGCTAATGACCTTCCTAAGTTGGAAGGCATAGCTCTGAGAATGCAATAAACTAAGCATGGATGGGGAATGCCCTTTCTACTTAAACAAGAACTATAAACTTAAGTCAGAACACGTCTACTTCCATAAATTACTATCTAAATATTTTACAGGTCCATGTCAGAATCAACTTCTTAAAAGTGAGTGCAGGATTTTATCCTCTGCTTGGATATTTTAAGATCGCAGATGCTAAAATTAGTTTCTGCTAATTTTGAGGCGGAGTCTCAGCCTTTATCTCCCCTCTGGGGGCCTCCCGCGACGGTGTTCAGGCCGGACTCACAGCAGAGCACTCTCCTCAGTGGAGCGCTCCAGTGCATTTGACCATTTCTCGTCTCCCTCTGTACAGATGAGCCTGGGTCCTGCTCACCCCTGTGACTGCGATTACAGCTCCTGGTCAGCTCAGTGTCCATTGGTAATGGCATAATGGGCCATAATCATCCCCTCGCAAATGGACACCCCAGCAGGAACAGTATCTTTCTCCCTCCACAAACACACAAAGACTTAAAATCAAACCTTTCTTTCTACATACACGTGCATTTGTATGGGAAAGAATGGACTGCTACAAAGGAACCGGCAAACATATGAGGCCCTTGGATCTTCGCCTCTGATTGCTGAAGGTTCAACAGATGGAAATTAATATATTGGACAAGTTATTACTGCGAGAGCACAGCAGCTCCAAGATCTCGGTGGCTTCACCAGGGAAGGTTTGTTTGTGGCTGACATTTCACGGGCACTGTGGGTCAGTGGGGCGGGTTTCCACGTGTGGCGACCCGAGCTGGGTCAGATTGCCTCGCTGGAAACACGTGGCCTCTGAAGGTGCTGGGGCAAAGGGAGAGAGAGAGGAAGTGGCCGAGCCTGCAGGTGACCCGGGTCGCTTCTGCTCATGTCACCGTGCACGCTCCTCTACCTGTGTGGGAGTCCCGGGAGGCAGGGGAGTGTGTGACCCACTTAGCCACGCTCACCGCTGTGATGGGAAGCCTCCTCTTGAAGAGGTCTGATCCCGCAGGTGGGCTGCACGTGGGCATCAGAGAAAAACGGGTTCCAGGGGCTTGGCCCTGGAAACTCAGTCCTCCTCCATTTGGAGGATTCTGGGTAGGAAATGGTCTCAGAGATGCTTTGTCTGTCACCACATTTCTGTCCCTCATTCTTTTCTTCTGGTGACCTCAGAGTTTGACCTTCTGCATCTGGAGGAAGGAAGTTTCCCAGGTGGGGAGACAGCTCTCTTCCCCCAGGTCAGCATCACCAGGAGGGACATCCATGGCCCTCCCCGGCCCCGCAAAACTGGGAAGTCCCCCAATGGAGCAGCGGGAAATGAGAAGTGAGCAGGAGAGATAGGAGGGCCAAAAGTAGTTATCATTACCTATTGCTTTGTGCTTTGTAACAGAACCATCCCCAAACTCAGCAGCTTGATTTACTGACCATAATTTATGTTCTCACACTGAGGTGGGCAGCATCGGCTCCTCCCGCCTGGTGTCAGCCTGGTGCTCAGGCTATGGGCGCTGCTGGTGGCCTTGCTCACACACCTGTCAGTTGGAGGTAGATCCAGGCTCCCCCACAGGTGGCCCAGGCTTCCCCACAGGTGGGCCAGGCTGCCAAGAGGATGGAAGCAGAAGACACAAAATCCCCAGAGGTCTACGCTCAAGAGTCACCCAGCACCTCCCCCACCACGTTTTTTATGGGTGAATGATATTTACTGTGAGTTACAGCGTCACAGCAGAGCGGGAGCAGGTGCATAATTTGCAGGGCACCGTGCAACACAGAAATGCGGGCAGACCAACCAAAAGCAAGCTTTTCAGATGACACAGCAGACCATTAACCAAGCACGGGGTGCCTGCGAAGGGTCTGGGTGAGAGTCCAGCCCATTGTTACTAAAATAAGCAGACAGGGGTGGGTTGGTCACATAATTGTCCCTCCTCAGACACAACTTGATGAGGAATGTGGTGAGAGTCTCTGCAATACTTTCCACTGCTTGTCCGAAGGAGAATGCAGCTCAAAGTATGAAATCACGGCCTTCCATTCCCTGACTGAGACCGTGTGGCTGAGGACTAATTGAGTCCTTCCCACGAGGAGTCATTTCCTGCGGAGGCAAAGGCCTGTGCAGAGTGGATGTGCGTCTGCATGATCATCGAGACCTGCCACGCGAAGCGCTGCCTTCCTCCTGAGAGAGCTGCCGTGGAAATGGCCACGTGAGGACAACATTTCCTTCCACCTTACGTGCTGGGTGGTGCTACTGCCCCTGGAATTAATTGGTGCTCGGGTGCTGCAGGGTGTGTGTGTGGGGGGGAGTTGGGGAATAGAGAGCAGTTAAAAGGACATGTGCCCCTCACATTTCCAGGGAGATGATGACCCTGACCAGACTCTGAAAGCCAAGTCCAGCAGCTTCGACGCCAGGGCTGCTGGCGGCATGGGGTGCACATTGCACAGTTCTTTCTGGTTGCTGTGCATCCAAACACACCCCAAACACCCCCAAATGTGTCCCCAGGCGCCTGCATGTCGGGGACTGTGCTGTTCGCTGTCAGGGAGGGGCCATTCCCCATCGCCGTGTGTCACTCTCAGTGCCCTGAACCGCATTCTCCAGGGCCTCCCGTGACAAGATCAAAGACAAATTAGAACCGAAAAAACAGAGGTTTTATTCCGGGGACACTAATCACACTGGAACACATGGGCAAACATGTGATATAGTTACATTCGGACAGCTCTCTGACAAGACAGCCACTCAAGCTGAGTTACCGGGTGCCAGCATTCGTGATGGGAAGGGCAAGCTCATGGTAACATGTGGTGCTGACTCTCCGAGAGGCAAGACCCAGGAAGGGAGCGCATCCGCCCACGCTCGCGGGAACCTCTGACGCAGGAAAAGGACCATCGGGATCTTTTTTACTGAAAGGCAGTTTCAGTGCCTAATGGTATTAATGAGGTTACTCTACAATAACAACACTTATGAGGACATTACAAATGTTCTCAGAGATTCAGTAAAGCAGATGTATTTAAAGGTCTCTACCCACATCGGGAACATATTTTACCAAACTTGCTGCAGCCTTATTTCTATTTTTGAAACTCCAAACAAATGATTTTTAACGCCATCGCCGTGACGTTGGAATTTTATGCAATAATGGTTTATTTCCCAGGGGTCTCTGGAAGTCGGCAAGAGAAGTAAGAAGACAGGAAAGGGGCACAGTTAGAGCAGAAGGTAAACACGGGATTCACGCTGTAGAGGACACTGTTTCAGGAATGTCCTCTTGGATCCAACACCCCCTGGCAACCCAGTGTGTGCTGAGCCCTTGCCTTGGGTAAGGAGAATTAGAAACACCCTACTAACCAGGGGTCTATCCCAGAGGTACATTTTTTAAGGTCTCTAAGTTTGCTAAGTGGCACCCCACCGTTTAAGGAGCTTTTGATCTTCCACTTTCTAAGGTCTTGGGCTGCCCTGCTCCCTGAGGTGTGGCCAGGGCAGGGCCTCTTTGTCAAGCAGACAGGAAGTCCGTTTCCCTCGGTCCAGGCAGCACCAGAACCAGGTGCCGGTGATTCCTGAGCCGGGAGGAGGCTGGAGGGATGTGTCTGAAAGCGCTGGAGAGAGGCCTTCAGAGGCTGCCCTTGAGGAGGGGGAGGCCTTAAAATAGCCCAACAGGTGTGCGATGTCCTCACCCTCAGGGTGTGGGGGCAGCGATAGCTTCCAGTCCCAGCCTTCTCTGGACCAGGCCCACGGAAGGGGAGGCGGCCAGGGAGCTCTCTGCCAGGAGGAGGGACGTCATCTTTCGCTGTGAACTGATCATGTAATGACAGTGCATGTGTCACACAGTGGTTTCCCCAGGGAATCTTCTTTATTTCAAAACAGGTATTAGCTGCTCTTTTTTGGAAAATATATTTTTATTGATTTTTAGTGAGAGAGGAAGGGAGAGGGAGAGAGAGAGAGAAACATCCATGATGAGAGAGGAAGTCATGGATGGGCTGCCTCCTGCACACCCCCACCGGCGATCAAGCCTGAAACCCAGGCATGAGCCCTGACTGGGAATCGAACCAGCAACGACCTGGTTCCTGGGTCGATGCTACACCACTGAGTGACACCAGCGGGGCTCCCTGCTGTTTTCTAAACCACACTCATAGTTTGTCTGAATATAAAAAAAATACAGAGAATCACTGCAGACCAAAATAGAAAGGTGAATGCATTACTTGAAGACTATAGACCTTTTAAAATACGCCATATAAAGAATAATTTTGCTTAGAGTTCACAGATTTCCTTTTCTAAAAAACATAAAATGGAGAACTCTTTTCTTTTCCTAAACCAACAAAAGGGTCTCTGGGATAATAACATATAAATATTCAAAATATACTATGTCCAAAAACAATAGCAATGCCTACCTAACACAACAGTGCCCACTCGTACACTTACAGGTAAAATCCACACTTCCCTGCTTCCCGGGGTGTGGCCCTATCTGCTTCCACCCCATCGTTAGCACATTTTAATATGAAATATGCACTGTGCGGATGACGTGGAGCTTTGCACTGTCTGCGCGCGGAGACGGCTTTTACTGTCTATCGGTACTGGAGGAAGTTCTGCAGCAGCGTGGGCAGCTGGAGCTGCGGGATGAGGTGCAAGCGCGGCCGTCCGATGCGGCGTCTGATGCAGAGGCGGCACAGCTGGCAGAGGGAGCTGGGCGTGGCTGCAAGAGACAAGCAGGCTGTGTCCATGAAAGCAAAACATGGATTTTCTTATGTTGCAAGGTGCGTGAAATCAAACCAGAAAAATCTGCAGTGCTTTGTAGCAAACTGGCAGTATGACCCCTGTACTGGGGAAATCATACGAGCATTTACACTGCCTTCATAAGACTATTAGAATCGAGGTATATCCCATCTACCCTTTAAGACATTGAAGTCTTTGGGCTAGAAACAGCTCAGCCGGCGTGGCTCGGTGATTGAGCATCAACCTAAGAACCAGGAGGTCATTGTTTGACTCCAGGTCAGGGCACATACCAGGGTTGTGGGCTCGATCCCCAGTAGGGAGTGTGTAGGAGGCAGCCGATCCATGATTCTCTTTCATCGTTGATGTTTCTATCTCTCTCTCCCTCTCCCTTCCTCTCTGCAATCAATAAAAATACATTAAAAAAAATAAAACCTCAGAAACAAATTCTGCTTTGTGAAGGAGATACAGATCAAAGGAGGGCATGCACTATAGGAGGAAATTCTCTTTTTTTAATTTTGTTTTATTGCTTAAAGTATTACAAAGAGTATTACAAATATCACCACCCCCCCCTTGACATTCTCCTGGCGTTCCCTACTCCCCAGTGTTTGTGTCCATTGGTTATGCTTATATGCATGCACACAAGTCCTTTGCTTGATACATTACCAACTATCCCCCCAACCCTCCCTGGCCTTCCCACTGTAGAGGAAATTCTTAATTGTTCTTCTCAAATTTGATTTACTGTTTAAGCCAAAGCCAATTGAACTACTCTGTCAGAGAGATTCTGTTTTGGAACTGAAGTCTTAAGTGTGGAAATACGTCCTGATCATGTTTCTACCCACATTGCAGAAGGCGCCCGCCCCTATAACATGAGGCGAGCCTCTAAGTGTTTATTCACAGATAGGATGCAGAACTGCATATTAGGTAGGGTCAAAACCGAATCTATGTAACTTAAACAAAGGACTATAAAGTTTAGGTCAGATGGAAAAAAAGAAAATTAAGATCATTGTGATTGTCTTTTTCACAGATAGAACCTAAGTTAAAAAGTATTCACTTTCACAAAATGCTCCAAATCGCACACCATGATTGCTTTGCCCGCCCTCGGAGGCCTCTGGTTTCACCTGTTCCCTGCTCCCGACAGACGCAGGCTCCCCTACCTTCGTGCTGAAGCAGCATTCTCTCCACCAGGCTGCTGGAGGAGGCCACGTCCACCGGCCGCAGCAGCTCCGTGTTCTTGGCGTTGATATCCGCCCCGAATTCCAGCAGCAGATGGACAATCTCCGTGTTGGACTGCTGGGCAGCAGCGTGGAGTGGCGTGTCCCAGTATTTGCCTTTCTGCACGTCAGCGCCTACGGGGAAATACGGGATTGTGATGGGTTCAGACAGCAATTGTTCTAAGTCCCCTCAGCGCAGGGAGGAAGGTGTGGCAGAAAGGACCTCAGCTCCCTTGGCACTGAGTGCCTCATGTATATGTATCATGTACATGTACACACATACACACACATATATGAACATATATACACACACACATGCATACACATACTATAGACAAAAGGGGCCACATGCTAACCTGACCAGCTCAGGGAAGGCCTGCATGGCGGTCTTGCAAACTCAAAGACCTAAAGTAACCACTAAGGATGGTCTAAATTTACACTTTAACCACAAGCAGTTCTGGTGGGTAGTCATGTCCTAGGCTGGTATCTTCCCCGACCATCTTTACCATAACTGAGCCTCTGTCTTTTTGCATCTAAGACAGTGGTTCTCAGCCTGTGGGTCGCGATTGGGGCACAGCCTAATGTGCCTGACACCAGGACAGAAACCACAGATTCCTTCGTTGTTACTGTTATCCTGTTAATTGTTGACTGTTAACTGTCCTGCACCCACCTAAGTATGTGTCCATCATTTTACTTTCTATCCAATCCCAGAGGTTTCCCCGTGGTGCTTTCTCCCGCCTCCCTAATCCTTCACCAATGGATTTCCTGTACCCACCTACGCCCCCTCGTTTGATTGCAATGTATAAAAATAGATGAAAAAGCCGCCATTCTCGGGAGCGTTATCCCAATCCGTTGAGAATTTGCTTCCCGGCAACAGTTTGGCTCAAATAAACTCACAAAATTCTTCACAGGTTTGAATGTTTTTATGTTAACATTACACATCAACAAACAAACATACATATACATGTATATGTACATATACATATACATACAACATACACATATACATAATCTTAAAACTTGGTACATCTGGATGAAAAACGCACATATTTTTTATATTGTCTACTATTCTTCTATATGGTTAAAATATCACCTAACAAAAAGAACTTTTAATTTTAAACAGTTCCAACATTCATCATATTAGCTACCCTATGTATTATAAACAGTGCACAATTAGTTTGACACGTATCTATTTGCATCGTGATGGATCGCTCTCAGGGGTATTCAAGAGCTTATTGCTTTTCTTCTTTTCACTTATTTTAAGGCAACAGAATCCTTTTGTTTCTTGGAAAACTCGTGATTCCTGAGACACGCGCTCTTTAGGTAAAATGTAAATAGATGTTCCTGTCACTTCTCACTCGTGTAGTGGAAGGCGATAACGACACACAGGCACTGAGCCTGTTCAATGAAAGGGCACATTCTATTTCTGCATGCAATTTTTTTTTCAAATGCTTACATTTAAAAATAACTTCCATGTTAAATCACCTACGGCATAGCCTTTTATCTCAGTGGCAGCCGCTGAATGCATGACTGATGGCGAAATGCTATTTAATGTGGAAATGAGAAGAATCCCATTTTCCAGCACATGCGTGGTTACAACACCCAGAAATGTATCGATGAAAATGCATTAGTCCTTTCAACTTGACTTCCTGGTCCTGCCTGTCAAACTCCTATTTGTAAGAAGCAGTGCACTCTAAGTAGGGGGTGGCCCTCCTGCTACGCTCAAGCTGCAATCAATGTAATTGTTTTCAACATTTTAACCTAATGGAAATGCTTAGTGGGAAAACTGCATAACAAAATCTCCATCAAGGGAGCATACACTCTGCTGGGTATGTCCGTTAGGAGAGAACAGAGCCTGAGAGTGGAGCTCCATCCTAATTATACCCGCACTTCTCAGTATTCTTCTCCCCATAAAATATCCAATGGAAAGAAAATATTCCTAGCAGAGTAAAGAAAGGTGATGAAGAACACACTCTCCTGGTTATGTAAACTTATGGGAGACAAGGCCAGGAAATATCAATCTGCCAACAATTACTAGCAGAACTTGCATTTAAGAGTCTTATTAGTAAAGGGAGTGGAATAGATGGAGACTGCTTGCCGGAAATGTGTAATTTAGTGAAGATACTGTGAGAAACAGTAAGGGGTCACCAGAGATCTGTCAGGATGTATCAGAGGCCAAACGATTACCATCCTATATAATAAAAGGCTTATATGCAAATTGACCAAACTGCAGAATGACCGGTCGCTATGATGTACACTGGTCACCAGGGGGCACACGCTCAATGCAGGAGCTGCCCCCTGATGGTCAGGGCACTCCCACAGGGGGAGCACTGCTCAACCAGAAGCCCTGAGCCGGGCTCACACCTGGTGAGCTCAGTGGCAGTGGCAGAGCCTCTCCTGCCTCCATGGCAGCACTAAGGATGTCTGACTGCTGGCTTTGGCCAGCTCTCCCCTCCCAGACTGCGAGAGGGAGAAGACCGGGCTAAGGGATCCCCCACCCCCTGCCCCAAGTGCACGAATCTTGTGCACCAGGCCTCTAGGGAGTCTCCCACCCCCCGCCCCAAGTGCACGAATCTTGGGAACAAAAAAAGGCCTCTAGGGAACAAAAAAAGAGAAACTTATTTACTCATTTTGAGTATATTTAAGCACCTGCCATGAGAAGCAGTGTACTAGAGGGAAGAGAGGATGGAAAAAGAGAGAAACCATAACTTAACCAAGCTCCCAGCCCTGGTCCCAAGGTCAGGAGAAGTTTCTGAGGGGCTGTACTGAACCTTGAGGACCTGGTTTGCTTCAAGTAAGTGGGCAGCACGTCTCTTCACGTAAGTAGACAAACGTGAGATGATGAGGTCTAGGACCATGCGGGAGTTAGGGCTGGTGAGGGGTCAGGCGATGAAGCAGTTAACTATCCCTAGAATTTTTTTGATTATTTTCTTCCCAGATATATTCATATTTAGCAACATTACATTCAAACTTGAAGATCTGAATGTTATGACCTTTGACCTTTGTAAGTAGAGGGTTTGGAGCTCTGAGGTGAAGTGGAGTTATAAGGAATGAGGTCTTGCATGGAACAGAGTGAGGAATCTTGGAGGGAAGGCGGGTGGGGTGGTGGGAGGTGATCAACCAAAGACCTTGTATGCATATGTGCATAAACCATGGACACAGACAGTAGGCTGGTGAGGGCCTGGGGTGGGAGGGCGGGGTTGGGGTTGGAGGGGGTCAATGAGGGAAAAAAGGGGACATATGTAATACTTTCAACAATAAAGACTAAAAAAAGAATGAGGTTCTTGTTTATAGGCTATAGACTGATGTGTGAGAAGCTTAGAATAAGACCATGTTTTAAATGAGATATAATTTTTAAAGTAGTTCATGTAGAGAAACAAGTGGAGCCCTGGCCAAGTAGCTCATCAGTTGCTTAGAGCTTCACCCCAATATGTCAAAGTTGAGGGTTCCATCCCTGATGAGGGCACATACAAGATTCAACCAATGAATGCATAAATTGGTGGAACAACAAATCTCTCTTCTCTCTCAAATCAATCAATACTTTTTTTTTAAAGAAAAAGAAATAAGAGCTGGGTATGGATGGAATGGAAGATGTTTTAAAGGTCATTACCAGCGTAAAGAAGCTTCCGGATGCAGTGGAATTGCTGTGACATACAAGCTACATACAGCGGAGTTCCCAAGTGAGGAATGTCTTGGTCAACATCTATGCCCCAGGATATCAGGATCTGTAGACACTCATGGTGACCTGCAGACACAAAGTAGAGACCTGTTTTCCTTGAGGCCCATCCCCCTACGCACCTGTGCCCCCGGCTCCAGCCTGTTATTCATGGAAAGGTCATTGCAACCGCGCAGGTGGCTGCAGGGACCGCTGCCCTTGCCCTTCCCCCGGAGCTGACCTTTGCTGGCAGCCTCGTGTGTGGGGGAAGGCAGGCAGGACTCCAGCTGTGGCTTGGCTCCATACTCCAGCAGAAGTTCTGCACAGCACGGGCTGCCCTGGGAGCAGGCGTTGAATAACGGCGTCACGCCATCTATTGTGATTGCATTGACCTAAACCGAACCAAAATCTCAGAGTGAGATTCGGAGGATCACACGTGATTGACTCTCAGGCATGTTAAAGGTGTGGTGATCTGCTCACAAAAATAATTGGGAACGTGTGTGGTAAATATGACAAAGGATATTTAGCTCAGACACGTGGATAAGGAAAGTTTTACAACTTCAAGAGATACATAAAAAGAGGATGTGGTAGGTAATTCATAGGAATGAACCTACAATCAAAATGACGAAAAAATACATACTCAAGGATCAAATGCACAAAAATGAATTTAATGGTTAGGTACTTTTCAATAGGTAAAAAAATCAACAAGTGTAACAGTGATGGATGAAAATGAAGCCAAAGCCACTTTGCCGGGAGCAGTTTAAATTGAAAATAAAATTTCTGAGGATTTATCTAAAGAAAATCATCCAACTCCGCAGGCGTGGCTCAGTGGTTGAGAGTCAACCTGTGAACCAGGAGGTCAGGGTTTGATTCCCAGTCAGGGCACAGGCCCAGGTTGCAGGCTCCATCCCCAGTTTGGGGTGTGCAGGAGATAGCCAATCAATGATTCTCTGTCATCATTGATGTTTGTATCCCTCTCTCCCTCTCCCCTCGTCTCTGAAATCAATAAAAACAAAAATATATTTTTTTAAAAAAGAAAATCATCCAAAAGATGGGCAAACATTATGGGCACAAAGAAGTTCATCTATTCCTATTGAGAGCCACGAAAGCGGGGAACAGCCTACAGAGTACTCCATAGGATGTGGCATGCTACCCCGCTTTGGCAATGATTGGGTTTCCTTCTTCGATTGCAAATGAGAGAAGGCTGGGCCGCTGGAGAGCTTTATTTGTATTCTGTTTTCTTTGAAAACCACCAACAAGGAAAGGGAGGCAGAGTGCGAACTTTTCTTGATCTGAGTACCTGGTAGATGTGAACACTGAACAGGGACTTACATTGGCTCCAGCTTCCAGAAGAGTCCGGGCACAGGCCACGTGATCGCCGAGGCAGGCTTCATGCAGTGGGGTGACATGGTCTATGGTGACCGCGTTTACGTTATAACCCTGTGACGTGAATAATGTTGGAAGGTGAGAAAAAGTTCTGTAAAGTCATCTCTACAGTTGTCACTAAAGAGGGATACAAAAGGTCAAGGAATGTCACCTGCGCCCTGTAATTGTGACCCCACCCCACCCAGACCCAGTGCTGCTTTAAGTCTTGTGCTCAATAGATTCTGAAAGTATTATTGACATTTGGCTACGTAACATTTTTCTTTCTCGTTAGGGCTTGCTTGGGTTGCTACTGGTTTTTTGTGGGGTTTTTTTGTTTGTTTGTTTGTTTTCTTGCTTGGGTTGCTACTGGTTTTTTGGTGGTTTTTTTTTTTTTGTAGAACTGGAGGCTGGGTACAGGCTGGACCCCTTGCTTTGTGAAGCTTTGTCAGGAAGTAGGCCTGAGCAGGTTCTATGCTGGTGGTGAGTGGCCTTGACTACGGAGGCAGGCTTGGCTTGGACGCCTTGATGCAGAGGCAGTGATGGCTTTCATTCAGATGAGCCCATTAGCCTCAGAATTAATGGAGATTAAATGAGCTGGCGCAGGGAGAGCAGTTACTGTTACAGTGCCCAGCACAGGGGAAAGGTTTGATTTGATTATTCAATCACAGTGGAACACGCCTAAAACTGCCATTCTAATTAAACTAAAGATATCAGACCAACGTAATTAGGTTTGACCAGGATCTGCGATCCTTTGCCTTCTTGCTGTGGGTGGTGATTCATTGTCTGTTGACCATCACACTAAGCACCATCCTGAGGAGACTTTTCTGGGCCAGATCCCCTTAATGGACTGCAGATCCCCACAGTCTGAAATGCCAGAGGGACATGAGGAATCTTAAATCGGAGGCAAGAAAATCATCACCCTCAATCTTTGTGACTGGCAAGTGGCAATTTTGAAGATACCTTAGATCAGTGGTTCTCAACCTTCCTAATGCCACAACTCTTTAATACAGTTCCTCATGTTGTGGTGACCCCCAATTTCATTACTAATTGAACATAATTAAAGCATAGTGATTAATCACAAAACAATATGTAATTATATATGTGTTTTCCTGCTGGGAGCTGGTCCATCCTTGCTGTTTCAAGGGACCTGGCATATATGGCATACTATCCTTAATATGTTTGCTCACATTCTTGGCCCTAAGTTT